ATTGAATATAATAAGAAAGTCAATCGTCTTCAATTGTAAGTACACGATTAAGAAACACGATTGGGGACAATAGAAATTTCTTTCCTATTGTTTTCAATCGTTTTCAATCGATTTTTTCTAGAAGGGATGCCGAAAAACAATTGTCGAATTTTAAAGATCCCTATGAAGAGCACATTAAAAATAAAAGTGTAGCCAGGAACATGATGTATATGGAGAAAGAAGAAGCAACAAAGGATAATTCCATTTTGTGTGCATCATTCGATTTACATAAAGTTTTATCAACTCCCAAGACAGAAATATCGGTGATGTTTTATAAAAGAAAATTATCAATTTACAATTTCACAATTTTTAATTTAGCAAGTAAAGAGGGACTGTGTAATGTGTGGAACGAGACAACTGCTAAAAGAGGGGCTAACGAAATAAGCAGTGTTTTATGGAAATTTATATCTGAGAAGTCAGAATCAGGAGTGAAAGAATTTAGATTTTATAGCGACAACTGTGCAGGACAGAATAGGAATTAAATATTGTACACAATGTATAGTAAAGCTGCTTTGAAATTTGATGTCACTATTTCACATAGGTACCATAGTGTTAATTATTTTTTAAATAGATTAGTTTTAAAATTTAAATCAGAATTTAAAAATTTTTATGCTAATTCTAGATGAAAATAGCGAATTCTATTGATTTGTATATTACAATTGCAACAATTACTATGCTGATGAAAAAAAATTTCATTAAATTCTTTATTTATTATTATTTATCTTTGATTATTTTATTAGTTATGCATATTTATATTATTATACTTATAATTCTCAGATACTTGGTGAAAGGCCATACTCAAACTAGTGGTGACTCTATGCATTCAGCAATAGAAAATGCTGCTAGGAATAGATCTATATTTGATCAAGAAGAATGGTGTGAGATAATGAGGAAGGCAAAAGTCGAAAGCCCACATTTCATTGTAAATGAACTTACTTCAGATGACATCTTTAATTTCTCGGACCATTCGAATAAAAAATTTTGGAAAAACAAGAAAGTATCCCATGTTACTGAGATCAAGTTTTTTCCAAATAAAACATTGAATATTAAATACGACTATGGGACAAATGTTAAGGATTTAAAATTGATGTCAATGAAAACGAAGCATTGCATAAATGTTATGCAAGAAAGTTAGAAGTGGATAATGAAAAAAAGAAAGATTTATATGATTTAATGAAAGATGGATTAATCCCAGAAAAGTACCATTTCTTTTATAAAAAAGATTTGGATTGAAATGTTTAAGACTGTTAAACAACTTACGACATTTAATTAAGCATTGTCTCTCATCGTTAAAGATTTTATACGACAATATATAATATTAAGAAAGAATTGTAATATTTCTTTACATAATTTTAATCATGAAACTTATTTATTTGTCTTTATGTAAAATAATATAATAAATTGTTATTATGACACTATCACGTGTATCTTCTTAATTTATAAAACACTGTATAATTTTATTTTTAAATTGTATAATAGTATTTGTTACAATATTTTTTTTTTAATTAATGATTATATTCTAACTTTAAATTACTTTTTTTATCACTCACATTAATAAAGTAATTTGAAAATTTTCATAAAACAACAGTACTACGTGCTCGCAGCAATAACTATTACACGGATATGTCTATATACTAAAAATATATTAAACTTATGTTAAAATTTTTTAAACAAATTTTAGAGAATTTTTTAAACTTTCTTGAGAATGTTATATTATAGTTAACAAAATTTTATTCTTGAAATCAATATTAAACAAGTTGTAAATTCAGATGTTCATTACATGAACATTTTGCATCCTCGTAGAGAAAGCAAAATTTTATTGCCAAAATGTGAATTTTTGATTGTTTAACTTTCATTAATTCTTTAAATTTACCTCAAATGTATACTTTATATATATCGATCGATTCGTCTTGACGTAAGTAATACAATTATTTCATATATAAACTTCAATTTAAAAGATCACAAAATTTTATTGCCAAAATGTGAATTTTCGATTTTTTAACTTTCATTAATTCTTTAAATTTACCTCAAATGTATACTTTATACATATAGATCGATTCGTCTTGACGTAAGGAATAGGATTTTATTATATATAACCTTAAATTTTTCTATTTAAAAATATTTTCGATTAAAAAAAATTTTTTGGAAAAAAGACGATAAAAATTTTTTTTGGGGCATTTTCTAAAATCCTTTGGTCAGATTTGAGATATTAATATGATAAATGAGCCTACCAAATTATATCTAAATCCATTAAGACCTGTTAAAGTTATCTTCTAAACAAAAAAAGGATACACGCACACACACACACATACATACATCCGGACAATTGATCAGGATCTCATATAACATGTTTCTATAAAGAAAAAAATTTGTTTCCGCTACTTTGAAAAGTTTTATAAACGAAAGGACTACCAAGCTTCCTCCACGAGGAAGCAAAATTAAGAAAAGCATAATTATTAATAATAAAATTATTTAAGGTTCTACCGACTTAACCATCAATACTCAACAAAATATTAATTAATTTGACTCATCAATTTTTTGTTTACAGTGTTACCAACCTAAAACAATCAACAAAAATTTGACATCTGAGATGGCATGTTTTTGAAATCTTCACTGGAATGGCAGGTTTCTCTAATATTTTTTAGATTGTCATGTTTCTCAACATTCGCCTGAATTGGCGTGTTTCTGCCCTCAATCGACGAAATATTATTTTATTTATTAATAATGGAAGGAAAAAGATTAAAGTAATTGTTGATAATGAAATTCAATTAATTAATTAAAAGAAAATTAAATTTTTTCAAAACAATTATTCTTAATAAAATTATAATAAAATATTATATTTTTTTAACCTTTATGGGACTGACGAGGTACCCGGGTACCTTTTGCATTTTCAAATTGATTTTTTTCATAATTTTTAAAATCGTATCGTCCTAAGGTTTTTTGACATCTCAAATTTATCCATACAAAGTGTTTTAATATTATTTATAATGTACCTTTTTTATTTATTTATTTGAAAATAATAAATAAACTTTCTTCACCCTTAAAAGGCGGACAACGTACCCGGGTACCTCTATACATTTCATGCAGATAAATTTAGAAATTTCTATCTAAACAAGGTGTTCAATTCATGACCATTTAGCTACCTCATCATGATACACTTCGTTAGCCCCAAGTCGAATGCACACAACTTTCAGAGACATTTTGGAAAGTACGCAACTTCCACAGCCGTTTTGGAAATCACGTAACTTTGTGGTGCAGAGCAGAATGTACGTAACTCTGAGAAACGTTTGGAATTCACTTATTTTGGTTTTTTGTGTTTTTCCAAAATACAAATTACAATATTTCTGCTCGAAACATAGCAATAAAAAGTGTAAGTCAATGTTCAATAAAATCCCTTTTATTTAATCTACAGGCATCCTATGTTATGTTCCGAGCAGAAATATTGTAATTTGTATTTTGCAAAAACACAAAAAACCAACATAAGCTAGTTCCAAACGTTTCTCAGAGTTACGTACATTCTGCTCCGCACCACAAAGTTACGTGATTTCCAAAACGGCTGTGGAAGTTGCGTACTTTCCAAAATGTCTCTGAAAGTTGCGTGCATTCGACTTGGGGCTAACGACTTATATTCAAGATTAAAAGAGAGATTACAACTAAAATATCAATCAATTTTACAAATATTGGTAAAGTGTAAACTTTATATACATCAATCGATTCGTTTTCATGCCAGGAATACGGGTTTGACAAAATGTTTTAAAAATTTTCATGAAAAAAAAGTTATTTCAAAAAATACGAAAAAAATTTTATTCAAAAATTAAAAAAAGATATAATTTTTAGATTTTAAGTAAAATATAGACTTTATATAGATTAATCAATGTGTTTTAATGCGAGAAATCTTTCTTTTGTATAAAAAAATTATATTTACAGTGTAATAAGCCTCTAAAATTTCAGGACAATCCATCGAACTGTATTAGAGATAATTTGTACACAAGATTTTGTGACATACACACACATACATCCGGACATTTGTTTAAAACTTCAAATATATGCATTCTAGATAAAAATAAGTCCATATAACCCATTTTTAAAACATCGAAAATCGTCACGAATACAAAGCTTCCTCGTGAGGAGAGGAAACAAAATTATGAAAAATTACATTAAACAATTTTGATTAATTTTTATAGTAACGCACATAATTTTTTTAAAAAATATGTAATTTAGCTACTATAGTTAAATAATAATATTTATAAGAAATCGTGTAAATATGTATGTATGTAAATACATACATCCGGACAATTGATTAGGATCTCATATAACATGTTCCCAAACAGCACAATGTCTTACAGTAGTGCTACTGTGAGCGACATCTGTAGGATTCGTAAGCTTACCTCGTAAAGCTGTAGTAGATACAAGGTGTTCTAAAATGTTCCGCTCTACAGTAAGCTTACACCTAAAGCCCGTGGTAAGATTACATCCACAACTCATGGTAAGCTTACACTTATAACCCGTGGTAAGCTTACACCCATAACTCACGGTAAGCTTACACCTATAACTCACGGTAAGCTTACACCTAAAGCTGACGGTAAGCTTACAGCTTAATTTTATTGTAAGCTAACTGGTAAATTTCGCAGTAAATCATGCCACATTAAAATAAAGCATATTTTGTTAAATATAATAAACAAGGAAAATAGTTTTATATGTTTTTTTATTTTAGAATCTTACACAGTCTTTTTAAAAAACATTATGAAATATTAAAGTATTATAAATATTAAATATTGTATTGGGTCAGAATTTGATGAATGGTTCATCTAAAATATTTGAATATTAATTAATTCTCAAGATAAGATTAATTCTTACTCCTAATGTGTTTAAAACTATTGTTCGAAATTTATTAGAAAGAAAATAAAAAATATTCATTGCAAATTTTTTTAAAATAAAAACTTTGAGTGGTCCTAAATTAAATACTTTAAATACTAAAAAAGAAAAAATTTTTTTACAATAATGAATGAAAATTTCATTGCAATTTTATGAAATAAAAATTACTTTATATTGATCAAACGTCTTCAATTATAAATCCAAAGTATTAAACAACCCTTTCAAGACAAAAAAAAGTATTTTTTTCTGCAAAAGAATTTTTACTTAAAACTACTTAAAAATTCAAATTTTTGATAACTGGACAAAAACGTTTTTCTGGGTTCTACATTTCACAAACTTATTTCTTCGATCACATTAGAAGTAGAGAAGCGATATTGCAAATTAAATTTTCTTATTTTAGTTGAGCTGATTTAGAAATCCTGCCCAATATTATAAAAAACGGCAGATTATTTATATGTAACATGATGATGTTAATAGAAATTTTTTAACCATGTCCACTTGATAGAAAAGACCTGTAACAAAATATTATAAATTTAATGTAATATTGATGTTAATTGAATTAAAAAAATTGTTTTAGAATATTAGTAGTATAGTAGATAAAAGATTTTTTTACCTCCTTCAGCTGGTTTTCATCTACTGTCCAATTTGTATTTCCTGAACATAAATGAATCGGCAGTCGTGTCCACTTAATAGAAAGGACCTGTACCAAAAACATTATAAATTTAATGCAATAATGATGATGATACATTAGTGTTCATTATTTAAAGCTCATAAGTGTTAGAAAAGTTCAAAAAATGCTTTTTAAGAATTTATATGTTTAATACTGTAAGTATTTTTAAAAAATTTTTAAAAAATTGTCATTATGTTTGTAAACAATATATGTGTCATTTTCCACCTAGTGCAAAATTTTATTTTCTTTGCATTTTTTTAAGAAATCTGGTGCACATATTGTAATAAATGCAAAGGGAAAAACGAATTTATATTTTCATCAACAATAGCTACTATTGTCGTTTTTACTTAAAAATTCTTATTTTATCTTTAGAAGCTATTTTACATTCTCATCATCATAAGAAAGTATTATTAGTTGCCGAAAAGTCTTAGTAAAGCTTCACCAAAGTTCTATTTACATAAGAAAATAGTAATTGTATTGTAAAATATAATAATAAATATAAAAATGATTGATAGTTTGATTAGTAGTCTATATTAATAAAATTGGAAAAGATGAAACACTTTATAACAAAATTGAGGAACAATTTTTTGTGTCGTTATTGAGTTAGCCATATTTATAAAATTTATTATTTATAAATTGTTCGTTATTGTTTATTATTTATCCTTATTTAAATAAAAATGGAAATTAAATTGATTTTTATCAAATTCGAAAATATTGTTTAATAATAGCACTAAATTGTAATTTAGTTTAATATTAAAATGAATAAAATTTTAAGAATAACTAAATTGTACGCTAAGTGGAAAATCATCCATAAGCTTTAAATCGAATTTGAAAAATTTGTAAAGAAAATTATTCATTGGTAGAAAAAATGTAACTTACATTGTTTATAAAAATGTTTCGCAACTCCTTCAGATACGAAAACGAAACATATTACTTTCCTTATAGTTGTATGGGATTTGGTAATGGCTTGCTAAAAAAGCAAAGAATAAAATTTAGAGAAGGTATTGAAACAGAAAAGAATAATAACAAATAATAAATAAATTTAAAAAAAAGTATAATATTATTGATACTTACGTTTTTCTATTGTCTCGAATTCTACAATTGGACAGCCATGAGCTAATATATTTGTCAATTTCTGTACTTGTTATATTATTTGATTGCAGTAACCACAAGGCAGCATCTATGCATGTAACAATGATGAAACATATTATTTAATTCTTTTCCTTTATCATAATTCAAATAATTTTGAATCAGTTTTCATATACTTTGTTTTCATGTACTTTCTCAAAATCAATTATAGATTCATTTTAAAAGTATATAAAATTATATTTCATTTAGTTAAATTTTCGTATATTTTTATCTGAAATATTATATTTGCAGCAAAAGTTGAAAATGGTTAATTTCGTCCGAGTTCCACACAATGCTCAAACGTCCTCAATTATAAATCCAAAGTATTAACCAACCATTTCAAGACAAAAATAACGTATTTTTTGTACTCTTAAATTTATCAAATAGAACTCTGCAAAAGAATTTTCACTTAAAACTACTTAAAAATTCAAATTTTAATAACTGGGCAAAAACGTTTTTTTGGGTTCTACATTTCACAAACCTATTTCTTCGATCACATTAGAAGTAAAGAAGCGATATTGCAAATATAGAAAAGACTTATAACAAAAAATTATAAATTTAATGTGATATTGATATTAATTGAATTAAAAAAATTGTGTTAGAATATTAGTAGTATAGTAGATAGAAGATTTTTTTACCTCCTTCAGCTTGTTTTCATCTACTGTCCAATTTGAATTTCCTGAGCATAAATGAATCGGCAGTTTTACTGGCAAAAAGCTGCATTGATAAAGCTTGCACTTGATAAACGAATTAACATATTTATAAATTAGGTCTCGCACTGGCTAACTTGGAAAGAACCTGAAAAAAGTTTAGATTTATTTTCAAGAAAAAAAATAGAATTGAAAATTACAAATGTATAATGTTAGCCCCATAGCAACGAAAATTTTATAAAAATTTAATATTTATTGCAATTTTGGAAATACTCAATTTAACAAGTTAAGTGAAAAGTGTGTAAAAAATGTAAATGTCGCGATGAAGTACATGTTTGGCTAAAAATTTTCCTGAATAATTAAATTGCATTTTATCCTAATAGTCGAAAATTTATTTTAAATATTTAAAAAAATTTTGTGCAAAATATTTCGCTTTTAAATTTTTACATTACTTTCACTAAACTTTGCGATTAAATATTCAGAAAATTGCAATAAATATTTAATAAATTTTCGGTGCTGTAGGTGATTTATTAACTTTATTGTTGAAAAAATTCAATGAAAGTCTGTTGGTATCGTTTAAATAAAAACAAGAATTAAAATAAGAAATAGTAAACATTATAACGACGTGATGCAAAAAAGGTAAACTTTAAAATATAATGAAAATAACTCATAAAAGTTTTATTAAAAATGATAAACTTGAATAATTGAAATGAAAACTAATGAAACTTTAATAAAAAAATATAATGTTGTGCTTTTTCCTTGATCAATCTTCTCTTATAAAGAGAATAATATGAGTTGCAAACACTCTGTAAAACAACTTTTACTAATTATATCTTAAGAATCTTACTGATAAAATGTTCTTTTTACAGATTTATGTAAAAACGAAGTATTACTTTTATATTTTATATTCCAATTACGATCTAGCATTTTAACTACACACTTTTGACATATTTTCCTATCAAAAAATTAAAACAGAAAAAATTCGATCTTTTTGGCCAAAAATGTTAGAAAACTCCTAAAAGTAAATCTGAAATTTCGAAAATTTTCGTTATGCAAAAACATACTAAAAAGGGTGCTTAGTAAATTAGAAAAAATTCAATTCTTCTATTTTGGTAAAATTACAAGTTCGTTACAATATGCATCTATGTTGAATGGAAATTGGCGTGAATATCATTTACGGAATATTCATGGTTTTCGAATTTCAGGATTATCGATTCAAGAATATGAAATATTGATAATTACCAATCTTACAATGAGCAGCGTATATATTAATGCGATTTTGAGGATGTGCAAATATTTATGTCATCGAAATCATAGATATTTGTCATCCAGTGTAGAATTTTTCCAAATCTGTTCATTAATTTGAGAAAACGCTATTCAGTAAATTGTGTAATTGATCTTGTAAACTGAAAGTAATAATTTTGGTATTAATATTACCTTATTAGCATTCGTACCATTACGTACCATTGTTTCAATTGAAATTAAATGTAAATACGATTAAATTTATTTACTTTTTCCTTTAAATTTGGCTCAATTCCGTACATTTGTATTGAAATCTATTTTCAGTTTCTATAAACACTTTTCGTTCATTCATCATGAAGCCAATTTAGTCCTCACCCAAAATCGTGATGAAATATGAAACATCAACAGAGTAAATCAAATTTCATATAAGAAACTGATACGTTCACTCTTATTCTTAAAATATTTAAATTTAATTTGAAAAATAATTTAGATCATTTTAAAAAGTAACATCAATTTTAATTTTGATTATGAAAATTTATATTAATTAAACAAAATTAAAGTTTTAGGTTTAATACTGAGGCAAAAAATTGAGGATACTCACTGGTAATTTTTGAACAAAATGATATCCAGAGTTTTCTTGTCTTAGAATGTCTCATCAGTCATTGCTTATTTGATTATTTTTCATATGTGATTACCAAAAGTTTAAACTGTTTTTCCTTTTTTTGTATTTCATTTCAATTTGACGGGGTATTTTTCATTGGTAAAAATCAATTGAAATCTTGTGTCTCCTATAAGAACTCCTCTGACAATTGTAATTAATTTTTTTACGTAATAAAATTAACAATTTTTGATATTAACTGAAAATTTTTTGCAGGATGTACAAATTGGAATTAGTACTTTGAATTGATTGAAATTATGTCGACTTTGAAAACTCCTGAAAAAATTGTTAACAAAAAATTTTTATTATTGTATATTAAATTTTAAATTAATTTTTTTCGACTTTAGAGTTACAGCGTTGCCAAAGGTATTTGTATTAAATTTTTTTAAATTTGTTATTTATTTTATATTTTTATTATTGTTAAATATTATAATATTATTACAATTATTGAAATTAATCAATTAATTAGAATATAATAATTATATAATATTAAAAATATTAAATATTATTGATAAAATTTCATTTCCACTTATTTTTCTTAGAACTTCTGGACATGTGACAACTCTCAATTAATTTTGTAAATAATAAAGTAATTTTTATATTATAGTATTTGTTTTTGAGTATTTTATTCAAATAATGATATACATTACCTCAAGAGCAATTTTGATTTCATCGTCCACGTATTTAGATGCTTTTCCATTATCAGCATAAGATTTCATTCAGAGTATAAGAGTCGCAAATTATTATTTGCCCAGTAAAAGCAGGTTCATTGAAAATGTCTTGTGCCAACATTGTAAAATTTTGACGTAATATTAGTTTAATGCTTATATTTATTATGCATTAAATAGTATATTTAATATTATAATAGAGCATTTAATTTACAAAATTCGGATTCTTCACCATTTTTTAAACGACAATAAGTTAAAACTAAAAAGGAATAGGATAATTCTAATAAAATTACAATTTATTGAAAGGAAAGTAAAAAATTGCGTAAAAAATTGCATAAGAAATTTTTGATGGAAGAAAAACTATTTTTGTTTTCTTTCCTGAAGTAATGGGATTACTACATTTCCTTCCGACGTCGGAATTTTCCACGCCTTTGATATAGTATCTGTTATTGGTACGCAATATTTTTCACTTTCATTATCGTCCTGAGTCATATAAATGTTAATAAGCCTTGAATCAGGTTCGTCATATAAGCCGTTTTTAAAACAAAGTTTATGTCCAATTATCCGAATGTCTTGAGAATTATATTTTACAATATTCTCTGCGATTAAAAAGGTTCCGTCATTCAGCAGAACACAATTATTCTTCATACTATCACAATTTATTGTAAGTCCTTTTGCTTCAACAATTTTATACTGTTCAGGAACATTTATCAAGCAATCTAGAGTTAAAGGGCCCTTATTATGAGAATGTTTCAAAATGATATTTTCAATCGAACGATTTTTTTGACTATTCTCAGTTTCTGCATACCGTCGAGCAAGTTGCTGTAGCGGCTTGTTCCCTTTTCTTATCATCCTCTTTACACTGGACATATAATTTTCAAATATGAAGGCGCTGAAATTGTTCAAATTTCCATATCGTTCGACATCTTTAAAAATATGCAGTAAATTGTGCACATTATAAGAAATGAACTCTTTTCCACATAACAATGCAAAATTTTTCACAAATAATTGCAACATTTCTTGGGCAACCTCAATGTTCTAGGATCGGAAATATGTCTTTCGCTTATGAGGATTAAAACTGCTGTATTAAATAACAAAAAGTGTGAATAAAGATTACTTGGAAATCCATCTACATTTTTCAAAACTACAACACCAGCATATAATAGAAAAGTACGGAATTCCGTTGCTTTCCAAAACTTAAATTCCCATAGTGATCTTGGTTTTCTGTTAAATTCATGAGGAATGAAATTTCGCAATAAGAGTAATCTATCTGATATAATTTTTATTGATGTAGAAGGGATTTTTACTTTAGATTTACCGAGTACCCATAAAGAGATAAGTTTTTTCATAACTCCGAGCAAAATTAGATGCATGTAATCGAGAGGGACAGAGGTGACACAGCCAAACTCCGGAAGTTCTGTAAGAACTGTTTGGATACCTGATTCTAAGTTGTTATATTTATTAAGCTTAAAATCCTTGTCATTTTTTAATAGGAATGGTCCTGTACCAGGTAAGCAAACCCTTCCCTTCTTTATTTTACCCTTTTTTGGGACAAGTGGTCTGTGGCATACTCCTTTTATCAGACATTTGGAGCAGCAATAATTCCCTGTATGGCCTTTTAAATATAATACAAAAGATTTGGCTGGAGCGTCGCAAATTATGGCCTCTATTTTTATATTATTGTTCTTCACTCCCTCTTTACAAACATTTAGTGCCTCTTGTACAAATGGATTAAGAAATTCATTTGCATCCAATGGTTTTGCTGTCCCGTAGAAGGCACCGATGGGGTAAACGGTCTCTGAATTGACTTCTGAACATAAAATTAAACAAAACGAGTTGGTTCCGCATTTCGAAATAGGTACACCATCTACATTTATCATTAATTTTATAGTCCCATCCTTCACACCTTTACGTCTCCTTTCATGAATTATGTTATCCACAGCTCTTTTCAAACCAAAATGGTGATAAGTTCCTCCACACATTTCGGTAGTTTCAGTCTTCCTAAGTGTCCCCATCAAAGTTCGTGCATCAAGTGGTAAATTGACATCAAACACTCTTAACAAAAGTAACAAAGCAGTCAGCGCAACTAGAGTTATATGAAAATTCAAAGCTTATTGACGTAACTGTGTTGAAAATTCCGTATCCTTCATACGCGCCTCATCGTCACTTGGATAATCTGGAATTTCAAAGTCATCTTCGCTAAGTTCACTGTCAGTTTTTCTTGTGTCTTCATTAGTAGTTATTTCAGTATCGCTGTCGGAAGAATCGTCATTTAGAATAAAATTATCCGTAGCATTGTAATCCATTGCAAAGGACTCGCTCCCATTAGTCTCATTACACTGTTCTCTTGAATTTTCATTATTGCCAGTAAATAATGAAGACGAACTAAAGTCAATGGTTGACCTGCCTGCATTTGATTGAGGTCCGTTGTCAGCAAATGAAGGTAACTTGGTATTGGATAAAGGAAGTTGTACGTCAAGGTCTCCTGTCTCAGTGTTTTCGAGCGAATTAAAGTTTACGTTCAAGTTACTTGCAGCTAATGGAAGTCCGTTGTCATTGGATGACTGGAAGTGTATGTTAGATATTCCGGGTTCACTTTTTTCGACATTTGTAGATGAATTCATCTGAGATTGCAAAAAGTTACGGTCAGCTAAAATACGATCTTGAACGATCTTTCGCAAGCGGCGTTCGGATATGCCACATACTTTGGATTCTTTCTTTGTGACTTTTCCCATGATTGCTAAAATTAATTTATAACACTATCAAAAATACAGAAAGAATTCACATTACAAATTTTAATAATCTTCTACTTAATTTTTGCTCGCTAAGCTAAGTGGTCAGTAACCTTCAAATTCAATAAATTTGAATCAAATAAATGGTATTTAATAAAAATACAGAAATGATTGCTTCGAATAAAAAAAACTATTTGGTTCAAAAAACATATATTATTCATTGATCTAGTAACCCATTAATTATATGAAATAAATATTTTAGCAGCATAGTTAAAATAGAACCAATCGCATTCATTGTTTAGTCTTTAAAACTTTCTACTTTACAATTTTTTCTTTGCATTTCTTCAAAAATTTAATGAAATACACAATATTACTTACACACTTGAGAGCTCACAAGAGGAAGTTAAAGTTGCAGTACTCAAACCGTAGTCAGGATGTCCCAAATCGGTATTTTCCAAATTCTTTAACGTAAAATTTAATTTTAATAAGTTAGTAAAGAAATTATTTAAAATAAGAATACATCTTTTCATTTAAAAAAGTATGTTCTCATGTCAGTTTATTATAATACTTCACGAAAAATTAGAAAAAGTTTCTGACATTGTTTCTTTAATTTCACTTTTTATTTTTCTATATAAGTTCCTTTAAATATAGTAAAATTGTAATTTATATTACGAAAAGAAATTTTTTCCTTAAACCAATTCCATCCAAAACTATATTCCTTAAATGTAATATAAATATGTAAACAGGTTTAATATGTTATTTTCATACAACGATTAATTTTAGTGAAACAATTTCAGGCTTCACAGGCTGTCCTCTATTTCCCTAAAAGACCCGTTTTCAAATTTTGGGTCCCTAAAAGTACCCTATTTTGAAACTTTTCCCTAATTTTCTCTTTTTTTCCACAAAATCAGTGTAAAATTAATTAATTTTTAAGGTTTCGTTCACACAGTGAACAGTGACAAAACTGAGAATTGGTACATTTTTGCCATTTTTTTCGAGAAAATATTTATTTATTTATTTATTTATTTATTTACACGGGCAATATCGGAATAATGCCCTGTCGTACAAAGTACTGTGTTTACAAAAATATAAGACTTATTTACTAATTGGCTGTGCCATTACTGTTTGAATTGAAAAACAAATTGCGTAATTCCTGTACAAAAGAGCTTTGTGAAATGCCAAAAAAATCTATATTGCTGTCAAACTGGTTAGCCTCTTTACTCAGTCTGTAGATAATAGAATTCTTTAAATAATCAGTTCTAGTAAACGGTAGTCTAAATAAAGGAAGAGCTCTGGGAGATCTTTGAGGTACATAAAAATCAAATAAAGATAATAGATGTGGGCAATTAATTTTACCGTTAATAATTTTGAATA